GCAAAACGTGGTCTATACGTACAAGAGAATATTATTCAGCCTTTAGAAAGGAAATCCTGCCGTCTGTGACAACATGGGTGAACTTGGAGGACAAGATGTGGAGGAGCCAGTCACAGAAGGACAGACTGCACTTGTCCTTCTTATATGAGGGGCCTAACGTAATTGAGCTCAAGGAAGCAGAGGAGAGAACGGGGGCTGCGAGGGGCTGGGGGAAGGGAAGGGGCGAGTGCTGTCAGATGGGTGTGCAGCATCAGTTATGCACAGTGAGTAAGTTCTAGAGCTCCGCAGTTACCAGTACTGTACTGTCCACTCGGAATCTGTGAGGAGGGTAGGCCTCAAGTTAAATGTCCTCACTACAGGCTTCCCTGGTGGCGCAGTGGCTAGGAATCCTCCTGCCAACACAGGGGACACGGGTTCGAGCCCTGGTCCGGGAAGATCCCACATGCCTCGGAGCAACTAAGCCCGTGCGTCACAACTACTGAGCCTGTGCTCTAGAGCCCGCGAGCCACAACTCCTGAGCCCGTGAGCCACAACTACTGAAGCCCGTGCGCCTAGAGCCCGTGCTCCGCAACAAGAGAGCCACAGCTCGCCTCAACTAGAGAAAGCCCGTGAGCAGCAACAAAGACCCAATGCAGCCAAAAATAAACCTGCTCACCAGCCCCACCTGGGCCAGACCTCTCGCGCTGGACCAGAAATGCCCAGGTCCCAAGTGCTGCCAGGGGAGGGTGTGCAGCCAGGGGAAGGCACCCCGCCCACACCCCATGTGCACTTTCTCCCCTGCATCCCGGCTGCTGGCTGGAGCTCCCGCCCATAGAAGCGTGCCGTGTAGCGAGGAGGCCGTGTACCCGTGCAGGCCACCCAGGGATGAGCGCACAGTCCCGTGCAGTGGTCCTCATGTGCCTGGACGGTGCCGCGGGGTCGCAGCTCCGGCGTCCTTTCCACCTGTGAGTGGCCAGCGGACGTGGTCCGTCCCCCGCAGGTGGCAGCTCTGAGCCGGCGCTGTGGTGTCCAGCAGCGGGATTTGCAGGTCATCCTGGGAGGCGGTCGTGGAAACAAGGGGCCTTTAGATGCGGTGTCAGTGCCCACGTGAGTGAGACACGTGTTGTCAGGCCTAAGTGAAGAAATGACTTTGAAAGGTAGCTTTTTTAGAAAATTCCGCATCTGGCGGGGGGTGGGGGGAGTCTTAGACTCGCACGCCTACTCGCTTCGTCCAGGGCTTCCTCCATCACACACGGGGACGGCCAGGAGAGCCGGGTTCACTGGGGTCCTGAGCACCCCCTGCGGGCTCTGCATCCTCCCCAGAGGGTGGCTGAGGTCCCTGCTCCTTGGACGAGGGGCCCGCGGGTCGGAGCAGCTCATCCAGGCCGCCACCCTCCCTGCCGGGTGATTTATACGTCAGTGGGTTGAGGCTGTATTGATTCCTCCCAGACTTGTGGTGAGAAAGCATCTCAGAATTTCCCCATCAAAGAGACGGCCACACCTCAGCGTTCACTGCAGCATCGTTCACAATAGCCAAGATGTGGAAACAACGTCAGTGTCCATCAACGGGCGAACGGATGGGCAAAACGTGGTCTATACGTACAAGAGAATATTATTCAGCCTTTAGAAAGGAAATCCTGCCGTCTGTGACAACATGGGTGAACTTGGAGGACAAGATGTGGAGGAGCCAGTCACAGAAGGACAGACTGCACTTGTCCTTCTTATATGAGGGGCCTAACGTAATTGAGCTCAAGGAAGCAGAGGAGAGAACGGGGGCTGCGAGGGGCTGGGGGAAGGGAAGGGGCGAGTGCTGTCAGATGGGTGTGCAGCATCAGTTATGCACAGTGAGTAAGTTCTAGAGCTCCGCAGTTACCAGTACTGTACTGTCCACTCGGAATCTGTGAGGAGGGTAGGCCTCAAGTTAAATGTCCTCACTACAGGCTTCCCTGGTGGCGCAGTGGCTAGGAATCCTCCTGCCAACACAGGGGACACGGGTTCGAGCCCTGGTCCGGGAAGATCCCACATGCCTCGGAGCAACTAAGCCCGTGCGTCACAACTACTGAGCCTGTGCTCTAGAGCCCGCGAGCCACAACTCCTGAGCCCGTGAGCCACAACTACTGAAGCCCGTGCGCCTAGAGCCCGTGCTCCGCAACAAGAGAGCCACAGCTCGCCTCAACTAGAGAAAGCCCGTGAGCAGCAACAAAGACCCAATGCAGCCAAAAATAAATAAATAAAATAAATGTCCTCACTACAGTAATGAATAAACCCTTCCTTGTTCCCAAGCAAATTGCTTCAGAAGCAACGGTCTCAGCCACAGGCTCTTACTTGACCAGCTGACACGTGGAGGTTTGCCCAGGCCTCCATCATCAAGAAAGGGGCAGGAACAGGCCATCGCCAAGCTGCACGCGGGTGTGTCTCAGCCCTGGTCCCCGCCGCCTGGGTGGGGTGTTCAGCAAGCCCCCAGCAGCTGCCTGTGCTTCCAGATGGACGGGTCCGCCTAACCTTGGGCCTCTTTATTTCTTTTTTCTTTTTCTTTTAATATTTATTTATCGGGCTGTGCCGGGTCTTAGTTGCGGCGTGTGGGACCTAGTTCCCTGACCAGGGATCAAAGCCGGGCCCGCTGCGTGGGGAGTGTGGGGCCTCAACCGGTGGAGCCCCAGGGAAGTCCCTGTTCCCTTCTGCTGTGTAATTCTTAAACAGCTATCGGGGGTGAAATTCACCCATTTAAAGCATGCAGTTCGGCGGCGTTAGTGTATTCATAGAGTCATGTGCCCATCAGCACAGTCTAATCGTAGAACATTTTCACCCCGTAAAGAAGTGGTCACCCCCCCCCATTCTGCCCCCTCCCCAGCCCCTGGCAGTCACTATTCTACCTCCTGTCTCGGTGGCTTTGCCTCTTTTGCACGTTTCATGCAAATGGAACCATGCAGTGTGTGGTCGTGTCTGACTCCTTTCACTCAGAGCTCAGTGTTTCCAAGGTTCGTCCACACCGTAGTGCGTGTGAGGCCCACATTCCCGTTTCACTGAAAGACGTCACCCTATATGGATATGCACTGTCTGTTCATGCATCAGTTGACGCACGTTTGGGTTGTTTCCCCTTTGTGGCTTTGTGAATAACGCTGCCATGAACATCCGTGTTCAAGTTTTTGCACAGACATCTGTCCTCATTTCTCTTGGGCATTTACCTAGTGGTGGAATTGCTGGGTTACTCTGTCTGGAACATAGTTTTCCAATGCGGCTGCACCTTTTACATCCCCACCAGCCGCGTCAGGGGTCCTAGGCACCCTTTCCTCACCAGCACTTGCTATTGATTGTCTGTTTGTTAGATGACAGCGTCCTGGTGAGTGTGACGTGGTTGCCTCGCCGTGGCTTTGGCCTGCACTTTCCTGATGACTGGTGATGCCGAGCAGCTACTCGTGTGCTTGCTGGCCGTCTGTAAATCATCTTTGGAGAAGGTCTGTTCAGGGCCTCTTGTCTTTCCATTCCTTGGGTCTTTGTTCGTGCCTTGAATGCTGGCTGGAAGTCGCCAGGCTAACAGGTTAATCCCAGGGGAGTTTACCTCTGTTGACCTGGCCTGCGTCCCCTCAGAGCCCTCTCTGGTCCCTTGATGAAGCTTATGGCGAGCATGTCCTGGAGCTGACCTCTTTATGACCCCTCCTCTGGCTGCCCCGAGGGTAGGAGGGACCGCAATTTGTGGTTCGAGAGTGTTCAGGTATTACCTGAGAGTCGGCCTTCCGTGCAGTCCCCGCCTTGTGGAGAAAAGGAAGTTCAGACGCCAGCACGTGGGGTGGAGCTGTGTGTCCCCCCACTTCGACCTGGGCTGGTGGGGACACTAAGTGGAAGGAGAAACCAGGCCCCGTGCCGAGTCCCATCCAGTCCCCCACAGCCCTGTGAGGAAGCCACTATTGTCTCCTGTCAACAGGGAAACCGAGGCCCAGGCAAGTCAGGCTCAGAGCCCACTGTCTAAGCACTGCGCTGTCCTGCCCCATCAGCCTTCCCTGGCCTCCCTCCCCTAGGGCCGGTCTCCAGAAAACCGATGGCTTGGTGTCCAGCAAACAAAGGACAGGCTGTCTGGTAGGTGTCTTGAGCCTGGGAGCCATGCTTCCTGGTCTGAGGCCACCCTCCTGGGGCGCCTGGCCGTGGTGGGTGTGATGCTGGCTGGCTGTGGGCCTGCAGCCACAGGCTCTGCTGCTCTGCTGGGGACTGAACGTGTGCTGTCCCATCAGTGCACAGCACCTGTGAGAACTGCAGTCGGGCATGACGATAAAGGTATCCACCTAAACTCTCTTAAAGAGTAACGTGGGTAAGAGTTACAGTGCTTAACGTACATAAACTGAGGACCCCTTTGTAGCCCGACGAGGACCCTAGTTTATTTGTCTATTTCTGTGTTTTTAAGCTTCCTCTGAAACTTTTCACAGAGCCCCCGGGCTCAGTGTGTTGGGCTGAGATTGGAACTCCACCACTTTTTTCTGTGCTTTGGGAATAATAATAGCACTAACTCAAGTCGCCTGAGAAGCAGATGACGTAACGTATGTAATTTACATAGCAGAGCACGTGGTATCCTGTCTGTGTTCAATAACTCGTAGTTGTTGATAATAATCGTAATGTAACGCTGATGGTGTATTCTCTTAATAAGCGAATGCTTTGCTCACCGTGCCATCCTATGGGACATTTGATTTTTAAGAAAAGCGGAGATCTGATTTTTAAGAAAAAATGTTTTAAATTAAGTCCTTTAGATACGTTGGTCAGAAAAACATCCACCTAAAACGGGTTCCCTCCTCCGTCTCTTCTGCTCTCATTTGACTTCTCCCCTGACTTTTGCTTAGAGAAGCGTAATTAGAATTGCGGGAAACTTAATTTTAAACATAAACATAAACCATCAAAACTCATTTCTAGCCGAAAATGCCAGTCGGGCTGATACCGTATAAGCCCTGCCCACGTCAGGGAGCAGAGCGGGGCGGGGCCCGGCCCGGAGTGCGGTGGTCTGCACCTCGCTGACGTCCCTCCCTCTGTGTCCTCAGAGCTGGTCATGCTTCTGGAGTGGTGGTCATGCACAGAGTGCACCCTGTTCACCGACCAGGCCACAGTGGGCCACTTCGGGAAGGAGCATGTGGTCATCATACTCAACCACAACTTCGAAATCGACTTCCTCTGTGGGTGGACCATGTGTGAGCGCTTTGGCGTGCTGGGGGTGAGCGATGTGGGGCTCCCGGGAGGGAGTGGGGTGCGAGACGCGGGGGTCGCAGGAGGGTGGGGTAAGTGACATGGGGTCCCAGGGAGGTGCTGGCATGGCTCCCTGGGGTCTGGCCTTCCCTCTGGTTTAGCCCCTGGTCCCTCCAAGCTAGGGCACCTGGGACTGCAGGCTGCCCCCAGCTGCCCCAGGGCTTGCTCATGAGACCAGGTGTTACTGCGTTTCCTCTCAAATCCTTCCTCCCCCGGTTGGCTCAGCTGCCTCAGATGAGGCTGTGCGTGGCGGCCCTGGCATCTTCCTCAGTGAGCCCCGGGCCTGGCGGCCAGCGCAACCTCTAGGTCCTTGGCTCCCGTGCTGCCCGCCTGCCCGCGGTTTCCCCATCTGGTGGCGCCTGCACTCTGGGTCCATGCTTATCTAGAGCGTCACACTCAGAGGCAGGGTCTCCCGAGGACAGCCAGTCCTGGGGGCGGCCTGCGGGGGCGTGCCCTCGGGGACCTCGTGGTTCTGATGCGCCAGCTGCTCTGCCCTCCCCCCAGAGTTCCAAAGTCCTGGCTAAAAGGGAGCTGCTTTACGTGCCCCTCATCGGCTGGACGTGGTACTTCCTGGAGATCGTGTTCTGCAAACGGAAATGGGAGGAAGACCGGGATGCCGTCATCAAAGGGCTGAGGCGCCTGGCTGACTACCCCGAATACGTGTGGGTGAGTGAGGGGTGAAGCCACACGGACTGTGTTGTCTTGAGTCTCAGGGGCGCAGCCTGCGTTCTTAGTGGTGAGCCGGCAAAGCCTCTGAGCACCAGGGAAGCTGTCTGAGGAGGGCCGGGGCCCCGCCCCTCTGAGCCTGCAGGCCTGGGAACCCCTCTTGGACCACCTGCTTCCACCTGCCCCAGGTGGGACCCGCCACACCAGGGGCACCGCCGCCCCTCACACCCGGCCCCACTCAGAGGAGAGCCTGCTCGGCTGAGCCAGGGCTCCCTGGAGACGTTAGCGGGCTGTCTGCCCAGCGCCCAGGCTGTTCTGCCGAGTCAGGGCTCAGGACAAGCCCTCATGAGCTATAGTTCTGTGGGTCGACGTGGACTTCAGTTGCTAGAAGGTTTGCACTGCACTTAAAACAGCCACCCTTCAAGGGAAGGGCAGGGCCCTGGGGTGGGGGCGTTCTGGTGGTCCTTTCTGAGCCCCTGGATGGAGTTTGATGGACAGCCATCTGAAATGATCGGTATCGATCATTTGCATATCGGTTCCGGTCTCTGACGGCAGTTCTTTGAGAACTGGCAACTTACATATTTGGTGTTTGTAGCTCATCAAGGCAAAGGGATAGAAGAGTTTGTTTTCCACTCGCCATCGGAAGGCTGCTGCCTAGGGATACCTTGTCTCACTCTCTCCGGCAAGTGCCTTTTCATTCTCTGAGAATAGGTGCAGGGCTGTTGCTGTCTGTGAAGGAGTCGTGTGCGGAGTGTGATTGCGGCATCTCTGGTCATGCCCCGCTCTGGTCGCTGGGGGGCGACATCTCCTCAAGACTTTGCC